CATGGGTGCTGAGGGCTACTCCCTGTAGCCAGACTCAACGGCTGTACGTTGTGTCTCCTGGCAAGACTTGGCTGGAGCCGGGGCTCTCCGCTGGCTGGTTTCACTGTGGGCTTTGAGGGCATCACTCTGGGTGGGAGGAAAGGAAGAGTCTTTGTGCTTGTGGTCTGCCAGCCCTCCTCCAGAGACCCGATTTATCTGTCCAGCCTGGAGCGTGCCTGTGCCGGGGTCCTGCCTCTGTCCCTGGCCCACACCAAATATTTCAAAAGAGAGCACAAGAAATCCTGAAGGTGACAGCTACAGAATAACCTTCCAACAGGGAAAGTTTCCTCCAGATCTTATTACTCAGAGTTTGGCTTCAACCCTCGAGCATTAAGCTCTATATCCCCTGTAAGCACTGTCTGTGTTTGCTCTCTCTGTCCCCACTGGAGTAACTCTGAATCTTCTGGGTATCCAAAGAGAGGATAAAGGGTCTCACTGCCATTCTTCTCTTTAAAATAGAGAAGCTCTTAAAGTTAAGGCTAGAAAGAAAAAATAAAGCGCAGTTCCAGATACTACACCTGTCTTGGAAGGACTTTACAATCACCTTTCTGCTCTTAGGAAATAGTTTTGCTGCCAACAGAGGGCTACACCAGTGACAGCGACATAGTCCTGTAGACTGTTCAAAGAACTGAGGTGTATTAAATGCCTGGAATAAGCAATGCTCAATAACACAGTTCCAGTTACATCATATTACAGGGGGATGGGAATGGTAGGGACACCATAACTCTGAAGGGGTGGCAGTCAGATGATGATTATACATTATTGCTTCTAATTTTCTAAATTATTATCAATGAGAGAGACAGACAATTGAATGCCAGCATGAACTGTCAGCAGTATTTGACGATAGAAATCTCAACTGCCGTTCTTATCTTGACAGCATACTTTAAACACAAAAAACTTCAAATTTACAATAAAGCCCTTTTCATCTGATACAGTTGCCAGGAAGAATAAATACTTAAACATACTGAATTGTGGTGCTTTCAGCTCATCCCCTCTCAGCAGGCACAATGTCACAAAGGTGGGTCTGAAACCTGTCCTTCAGTGAAGAACGCAGCTCCTGGCCCCAAAACATCCCCACCTCTCTCCACGGCCAGCCAGGTGGCTTACCCTGAATGCTTCTGCTGCTGGCCTCTTCCAGGATCGCAAAAATTGCTCAAGAAAGGGCCTTTGCACTAGGGGATTTTCTGCAAGGAGCAGCAGCATAGCACATGTGAACACGACATTCATGACACAAGGGTCTGCCTTGTATATCTGTTCAGCATCCCTGCGTATGACTTAGGTGCCTTGATGTTGCTTCAAAATACCAATATCCCTATCACAGCTTTATGGGAAAGACAGTACATTAGGTGTAAAGCTGGCAGAGACACGAAGGCAAAATAAAAATTGGAAGGAAGAGTGTACAAAAAAACGGTTGTAGGTAAAAAAAATTTCAGCTGAAATACTGAGAGATTATTGAGATAATATCAAGTCATTACTCAAAAGGACCATGGAAAAGGCTGGGATACAAGAAGGACTAAGGGTATAGAAGAATGAATGGATGCTATAAAGAAACAAAGAGAAAGAAACAAGGAAAAATCAGAGGCGGAAGGAATCGTTATTGCACTTTTTTATTTTGTAGAAAATTTGCTTTTGTACAGCATCTGACAACCATTTATCAAACAGACAGCCTCAAAGAAATTCACAGCCCTGGAAACAGAGGCCAGAGATAAATTGTATATCCTTCGCTCTGACTCTTCTTGGAAGCTACAGATGTTCATTGTTTGGACACACAATGCACAGATTAACGTCTCCAGATGTTCACCATCCATCCTCCCAGACATTAATGGGCAGGCCAGGGAATGAATGCTTTTAGCAGAAACTTCAGTTTCCGCTACTGCTTCAGATGAAGTATTTCATCAGTGTTTATTTTCTGGAGAGCACCTGCTCCAAATGTAGGGAGCCTACACTACAGAGCAATGCCCCTCTGTGCCACCACCCGACACTGCGCGAAGCCTGCGAACTGTCCATATGAGTTCTGGTGATGAACTGACTTCCAAAGAGAATAAGACTCCAGCATTGCTTTCAACTATTTTACCTGACAGGGATAAGCAAATATTTAAAATAATAAAAGATTAAAGTGGTTGAGGGGCTCAGAGAATCAGCACAGGGAGAGTACTTCTCTTGAGCCACAGACATAATAAGGCAACTCTTGTAAGGAATTTGAGCAGGAATTTGTCCATGATTACACTTATTCACAGAGGTAAAAAGCATGCAGCAATTTAGCATTACCAAATGTGATACGACTAGCTGCCATACATCTATTTATTCTTGTAGGAAAACTTGTGGTGACATTTTTTGGGAGGGCTCTAGATAACAAATGTCCATTTTAATTTGAAGAGAAAAGCTGCTTACCACCAGTTCTCAATGCCGTATTACATAAAAACACAGGTGAGACACTGCTGAAAAGCAGTAATTCAGCAGCAGCACCCAAGAACCCCTGAAAATTATTTAGATAGTTTTGAAAATACTATGTTTAATATTACTGGCATGGTTCCCTTTTACTCCTGTTCATGAATTCCCGTTAGCAAAGAGCAACCTTCTGCTGAAGCAAACAGACTTAATCCTACAAAAAATACAGTAAGTGAAGGAAGTACACTTGTTGCCTTCAGTGCATGAACTCGTAAGAGAAAACAAAACAAGATTTGGTCTTCCACCGATACGAAGAGGATGTTAAAGAGGCGTGTGCTTTTTTCAGCTTGAATAATTCCAGCGAAATGGATGCTCAGGTGGCAACTGAGAGGACTTGAGTTTCTCAGCTTGGGCTACAGCTACGTTACAGACGTACAGCAGTGCTCTGCAAGGGGCCGTGCTCTTTCGCTGGTTCTTCTGCCAGTGCTGCCCGGAGCGGCACCAGTTTTCTGGTGGGGTGGTCAGGTCACTTTAGCTGATCTGAATTTGCTCTCAAAACACCTTTGCCGTAAACCAGCGGAAAGAAAAGATCTGGAAAACTGAAGGTAAAATCCTGGCTCTTCTTCAGTGAAATCATTGAGGAATTTAGGTACTCCTGTCAAAAGAACAAGGAATTCACCCCAAAAAGATCAATAACCAAATATCTCACACAAAATCTGTGAGAGTTGTTGTATGCAGCAGTTTTGAAAAAGGACTCACTTCTGCCTGCAGGTGGGTAACCCACTTACAGAGAAAAACCCCCACATTTTGTGACAGCCAGCAGAAAAAGATAAGAAAGAGACCCCTGATAGGAAAAATATGATTAAAAAAATTAGCATGCCATTAAAACAAGTATAAATACACATTATATTACAGGAGTGAGCTGTGTCTTCTTTAGTGTACGTGCCATTTTTTATTACTTCATACACCAAGTGCTAAAGTGTTTCCTAATGCCATGAGGTGGTGCTTTCAGTAAGTAGTAGAATAAATAGTTCCTGCACGGTTCTTTTCTGCGTCGTGTCCTCATTTTCTCAACTAAAAGAAAATTTAAACAAAACACCACAGGTGCCTCCTCCTTCCAAAGCCCACCGACCTCGCACAAAGCCATGTATCACGTTTCTGAGGCGCTCTGGCTCCCCTCAGGCGTGATGAACTGTACTTTGGGCACGATGAGGGAGGGGTTGGTTCTCCGCATGGAGTTGCTCCTCCGAATGGAGTTGTTTCTCCTCATGGAGTTGCGCTTCCGCAGGGAGTTTTGGTGGGACAGCTCGCTCTTCTGCAGGGTCTGGATGAGAATGGACGGCTTCTCATCGAGCTCTCGAGCACTGCAACGTGGTGCTGCCACTTTGACGGTGTTGCCGAACTTGGAGTAGTCGACTGCATACACGCCTTCCTCTTCAGTGACGATGGGCACGAAGCGGTGACCCCACAGGATTTCCTCTGCTATGTAGGAGGTTCTCGCCTGCGTCGTGATGCCAGTCGTTTCTACGACTCCTTCAAGTATCACGATGAGCTCCAGGTCCTGGAGTGCCAGGTCAGCAGCGGAGATATCATAAAGAGGACTCCGCTTGTCTATGACGTGACAAATGATTAAGGGAGCCACGAGGAAAATATTGTTGCTTTCAATGGGGTTATCCACAGGGATGTCTACTTGGTGAATGGGTATGACTTCTCCTTCAGGGGTTGTTGTCTTCCTCACAACCTGGATTCTCACTGAGGCGCTAATGATCATGCTCTTTCTGAGGTCACCCACTCGAAACATGAAGCAAAGCTTGCCGTTCCGAACTGCAATGACCGCCTGCCGGCTGAAAATCAAGGTCTCGGCACGCCTGTGAGCTTGCGCGGTTTTCATGAATATGCATCCCAGCATGACCGCGTTGATGATCAGACCCACAATGTTCTGCAGGATCAAGACCGTGATGGCCAAGGGACATTCCTCTGTCATCATCCTGCCCCCAAAACCAATGGTCACCTGAACTTCAATGGAGAAGAGGAAAGCGGAAGTGAAAGACCTGGAGGAGAAGATTGCACAAAGTTAACTCTAAGGACATCAAACACGAACTGAGAAGCTACTAGCACGTCCTTTCCAGAAACAAACTGAAGGACCTATTTGTACAGTTCTGGTACACTTAAGCCTTCTGTTGACACCAACAAAAGCACTGTGTGCTCGATGACTCTGTTCTTGTATAGTCGGTGCAGTACCTGATGGTGAGAGGGAAGACCTCAGAGCCTGAGCTCCTAAAGGACTGTCTGTATCACTAGGTGACCCTGAAAAACTCACTAGATCCTCTGTTCAGGAAGATACACCACCTGCTGTGTTAGCTGACAGTGCTCTGACACCTGGGCTTTCCACCATCTGCGTCCCATGAAGCTCTTGGCAGAGAGCGGTGGTTTTGGAGATAGATGAGCAATCGGCTGGCACACTGAGACTCTTCCACCAGCCTGTGCAGGGAAAGGAAACTGGGAAAACTGCAACATTTCACTCATACTACCTGTCTCTCCGTGTCGTGACCCCCTTTAAAAGGATTTGCTGGAAGGAAAGGGGACACTCACTCCCAGACCCGTGACACTTCCCGAACCCTTGCTCGCCTTGCGACTGAACCCACAGGATCAGGCTGCAGAGAGAGGCTGGTGGCCTCCACGGTCCCCTCTGCACATCCCGGCAGGAGGACGACTCTGTGAGCTGGGGTTTGGGTTTAGCTCACTGCCGTGGAAAGACTAGCTGGAAAATTTCAACACAGAAGTGGGTTGTAGAAGTGCGGGTTGAGTTAAATGTCCCCTGTAGTGCTGGACATCAGAGGATGCCGCCCACAAACTTTCCAAATACATTATTTATAGTAGCCCACAAGGCCATATTCCCTGTATATGCCAGGGCCTTTCGTTTCCTTTTGTAACCGGATATATCCTTCGCCAGCGTCTCTTACGCCCCAAATCAGCACCCCGGGGTTTATCCAGCAGACATGCAGCACATTGGGTCTCATACGAACTAGTATCACAGTCACCCTGTTAACATAGTGCAACCCACCAATGTTTGAAGGATTATCATGCTCAGCATGGCTTTACCTATGGAAAATATATGTCCTGTCCATGAAGATGGTTCTAAACCATTCATTGGTTTTGGTTTGCTTTTCAATTAATCTGCTTTTAAATAACTTTTTCTTTTTTTTCCCTAACCATATTTTCAGTGAACGTGTGGTCATGAGGAAACATAAAATAGCACAGGCAGTATCAGGGATAATTTTCTGTAGAATGAGGAAGTTCATCTTTCAGAAAACCAGTCAGTCTCTGCAGAGATATCTTTGAAAGAACTTTGTCCCTTTTTTTTGCCTTTTCTATTTTTTTAATCTTTGGCAAATTCCCTTTTATTGAGGGGTTTATTTTTGCCTTTCACTCTGAAGAAATCAGGGATGAAGGAGTAAATTAACAGAACTAATGGAATGATTTCTTATGTTCATGAATACTCACTAGCATGCAGAATGAAGCTTCTGGATTAAACTCAATTCAGCTTAATTCAACTTAAAGCTCTGTGGAGTAAATATTCTGATTTTCCTTAACAGTACTCCGTAAAAAAAAAAAATAAAAAAAGAAAAGAGAAGGAGAATCCACCTTTCTACAGTGAAAGTAACTGGAGCAGCAAGTTTGTACAGTGTTTAGACCATGTGAAGATGGAGCCAGAAACTCCAAATCACACTATTCCCAGGTCCTTCCCTTTAGAGCTGTGTAACAGTTTTTCTCTTTGGATAATGTTTGTTTTGTGTGGCAAAGAGCTCTGAGAATTCTAAATTTCTGCAGTACTTTGAAAAATTAAAGTGCTGTGCAAGTTCTAGGCACTGGTTACTATTTCCAAAACCAGGTTTCCTGTAAATCTGTAGTGGCACCTACCCAAGAAAGCTCTCCTGAAATACCTGTGGGCCTAAATCTCAGGACAGCAAGTTAAAAAAGATATTTGCCATTATTTTGGCATACATATAATTGCAATACTAAATATAGTTTACATCCAACAACTCACCATTCTTAAAAATGTCAGCCATCATATTGCTGTTACACGACTTTGTCTGAAGCAGTAGCCAGATTTAACAAGACGAAGTATTTCACTACGAAGGGAAAAGATTTTCCATAGCTTGGACCCAGACACCTGAGCAGCTGTTGGCCAAACCACCCCAGGTACTCGCCCGAGGGAGCGAGGTGTGTTCTTTGTCATGGGCTAAACCACAAAGTTACACCTATTTGTTTGCTCTGCTTTTTCACACCCCTCGCAGCAGAGGTTAGCAGCCGGAGGGGTGTAGCTACTCGCTAACTGGGGTTGGACAAATCCCACAAATCCCAGAAACGCCGGGGGTGATGCCCCAGCAGGCGCAAGCTGGGTCATGATGTCTCACTTCAGGGGCAACTGCCTGTGGTCAGCCATTGGAAAAGAAGTAAAACAGCAACGCGCCCTCCCTCTGCCCCAAACCCCCCAACCTGAGGAAGGTTAGCTTGGAAAAAAGTCCTCATTTCCTTTAGCTGGGAAAATCCCCATTTGGAAAAAAGTGCCAAAACGAAGAGGGAATGAAATCCCTGCTCCCTCATGAGCCAGACAGAATGTCCCTTCAAACTTGGTGAGGTGCCTCGAAGCTATGTGCAAGAGAAAGGAGAAGGGGGCAGCGGATGCTCTGAGGTCTCAGCGGCCCCCGTGCCCCCCCAGCCCCTCTCAGCACTGCCACGTGAGCAGGCAGCTGAGCCAGGGCAGTGTCGTGGTGCCGAACCAGGACCCTTCTGCTTAAACACCCAGCACTGTGAAAAGAGATTTTATTGATGGGGTGACGGAACAATCTTATTGCTTACCCCCACCTCCAGTTAACAAACACTCTTTTATTTCGTGTATGTATGTGTCAGTTTATCGGTGCCTTGAAAATTCATCATGGCTTTGGGGACAGAGAGTCAAATACTTTAACAAGTGACATTTAACCTAATAGTCCCTTAAGCTTTCCCTGACGCATCACGAGCACTATGGAAACTGCTCCTCTGTCAAACTGCTGGCCTACAGCTTCATCAAAGTATTTTGGAGCACCCCATATTTAGCTGTCTCACGAGAGTCATCTTGAAAGACATCTAATTTTGCCCTAAGCGGCACGTTTTTTGCCCTGCCTCTCAGGCACCGCTTTTGGGGTGGCCACCTTTCGCCAGCGCGGCTCGCACCACGCTGGGGATGCTCCTGCTGCCGTAGACAACGTTACAATACACATAACACATACCCACTCTTGTAGCAGGCTCTTATCTCGACAGGCAAGGTATGTTACCCACAGAGTGTGGAGACACATGAAAAGCAGCAGGTCTCCCTCTCTTTCAGATCCTGTAAGGAATCAAAGAAATCTACAGTACAGTATTTTCCAAGCCCAGGTGGCTTGCTGAGTTTACGCAATCTAGAGGAAAACACTGCACTTTTCAACTCTCTTAACCGAGCACAACAGTTCACGTAAAGCCAGAGCTGCGTTGTAGGCATCGGCAGGTCAGCAGGCAGCTCCATTTTCCCCCTTTCTTCACCCCACTGACTGATCTTTACCTGACACACGTCACGCACGGTGTCCACTTCGTGCTGTTTGTAGTGCTTTCTGTGCTTGGGTCCATGTCGCCATGGGCAAAAGCCACCAGCCACCACATCATGGCGAAGAGCAGCCAGCTGCACAGGAAGGACATGGTAAAGATGACCAGCGTGTGACGCCACTTCAGGTCCACCAAGGTGGTGAAAATGTCTTGCAGGAATCGCCCCTGCTCACGGATGTTCTTGTGCGCCAGGTTGCACGCCCCGTTCTTGGCGATGAAGCGGGCTTTGCGCGGCCGGTCTCGGATGCGCGGCTTGCGCAGGTTCTCGGCAGCGATCCGTGCCAGCACATACTCTTCAGGGATGATACTCTTCCGAGCCAACATCTTCCTGCCACCATAGTCCACTCAGCGAGATGCAAAACGGGAGGTGGTCCCTCTAGCGTGTCGCTCTACCCTGCAGAAAGAGAGAACCTGGTCAGATGTGTCACCTACGCGGTACAGCAAGAAGCTGCAACAACCGGTACATTAAACATCACTGTGTGACTACTTATTCCACAGTGCCCTCCCTCCCGCAGACCATCATTTTCACATGAGCAAGCGGTCTCCGCTCGCAGCAGAAGCGGACGGTGCTCTTCTGGCACTCCTCGCAGGAAGGGAGGCTGCACCGCAGTCCTGCAAACGCTGTAAAGTAACACGACGTACAACGGGTGGGTTCCTCAGGCTGTTTCTCCAGGAGATAGCCGTGCCCAGGTGGGTGCCGCAACACAGAGCACTAAGTCACTCGCATCCTTCAGGACTCTGAAGAATCAGGTTTCTCCGGTTCGGACCAAGGCTAGTGCGCGGCGAGGCCCTGGAGACCCATTGCCGAGGGCTGCAGCCCCGCGGCGCGGGCCCCCCGCCGAAAGCCCCTGCCCGGACCCCCGCCAGCATCACACCGAGGAGCGGGGCTGGGACCGCGGAGGGCAGGAAACGGGACTCCGCGGAGCAGGCGGGCGCATTTCCCCTTCGCAGCTCTCCTTCCTTCCCGGGACCAGGCAGGGAAACCCTCCCTTTATCCCCAAACTTCGCCCCGGAACGGGCGCCA